AATGAAAGAGAGCTGGAAGGGATTATGCTCAGTGAAGTAAGCCAGAAGGAAAAAGAAAATATTGGATAATTTCACTTTTAGGAAGAATATAGGGGAAGCAAGTAAGGGATCAAGGAAAAAAACACCTATAGATTGGAAACATTCAGCAGTGGGGAAGGAGTAAGAGGGATTAAAACAAGGTGGGGGGAAGAACACAAGGGACTATGGTGTGGTTCACCGGTGATTTGGTCGTGGGAAATTTACAGGGACTACACCTGAGAGGAGAAGTCAAACACTGCACGAAAATGAACAATGATGTAAAATATACATGTACACACACACACACAGCAACTGCCTTAACTAGCTAAGTAAAGCAGGGAGCTATTTCTCCATGAATAGTGGATTCATTCAGTAGAGGATCCAAATAAGGGATCAGAAAAAGAAAAGTAATTATAATAAGTAAATATCAAAATCAATAGGCAACTATAAACCAGAGACACTCTGTAGTGGGGTGGGAAGAACACAAGGGACTATGGTGATGTTGCATGGGGGAACTGGTGGCGGGAATTTCACGGGGACTCTAACTGAGATGAGAAAGTATACATTGTACAAAAATGAAAAGTGAAGTAAAAAATATATAATTAAAAAATTGCAATATATATATATATAGGATTCATTTGCATCCCATTGCCTTCAGATGGGCAGACCCTAACCCAGGATGAGCAGCTAAGTCTTCAAACTACTAATTCACTTCCACAAGGGTCAGGTGTTCAAGATGCAGTAAAGAAGAAAATGTGGGTAAGGCTACAACCAATTTTGCGAAATAAGAACAATTTTTATACTCTAATAGTTTTTAGAAATTACATTCATGGCTTTTATGCTGTATTACTTCATTTGGTTAATCTGTTACAGGATTATGATTTTATAAATATGTCATGACCAATGTTCTGCCGTTCAGCTGACATCCACTATGCATATAAATGCAAGCTCCGAAGCCTGGCATACAAATCCTGCATGGCATGCTAGTAAATAAACTATTTTCCAGAATCAGGCTAAATCCTTTTCATCTCCAATATATGTACCAAGTGTATTAAATTTCTCTTACAGTTCTTTTGTGAATTTGCACATGCCATTTCTATGCTTGTGAATTTGCTGCAAAGTAGCAAATTCCTGTTCATTTATTTAGATCCCATTTCAATGTTTCTCCATCACTAAATGTCAGGGAAAAGTGCATTATGTGTATCTAACACATCTCTATTTTTAGGAATCATTATCCATTGTTTTATAACCATTTTCTATAATTTGACTCAAGTATTAGGCTGTCAGCTCCAAAGTGGCAAAATATACTTTTGTCTACTGACCTACTTAATTCAACAAATAGCCACCAACTGCATACAACCATCCATACATTGATTTTTATGGAGTTCTAACCTCGCATCAGATAATGTAGCTCTAAATAATTAACATTTAGTAAAACAACTTGAAAGCAAACTGCTCAAGATCATGCTGTGAAGTTGGTTTTGTTTGCACTTAGGTCTGATGCACCATTGTTCTGTCATAGAGAACTGGGAAGAACAAAACCCTTTATATCTTTAATTACCTCTATGTAGCCTGCCATGAGAAATGATTTTCCTGGTCTAATAGCCTATGCTGAAAAAGCCATGTTTTGGTGCTTTCATTAACATTTTAAAATGTTAACAATTCTGTCAGCCCAAACTGAAAATGACTGTGAGAAATGAAAGCTTGCATAACTCTGACACTCACTCTTCAAGGCTCATTATTCTCATGACTTTCATTATGCAGTGAGGAAGTGGGGTCATCCTCACAAAATTTAGGAACAATTAAGAAAATTACTGTACGCAGATGTGACTTATGGACTGAGAATAACGAACTTTCTAAAAGACCATATTCCACAAAATAAATAAGGATCGCGAAAAATCCACAGATGTTTTATGGCTGAAGGCAGATTTTTAGTTATTCATTATAGAGACTTCTTCCAGGGTTTGGCTCACTTTCCTTGACCCTTTCCTGAACACTTTGAAACTTTCTCTTTGACTGTATTCCTCAGGGAGTTTAAGAAGTTCCAGGCATATTTCCTGAAATTCTTTGAGTTCAATCTCAAACACATTGATGGGAATGAAAACATTGTCACTGACACTTTTCCAATGTGAATTGCTGCTGTGGTGCAAAGCTCATTTTTCTTTTTCAAATTCAAAGTTTGGGGAATAACATGTGGAAATAGCCAGCCAGGAGGGCAGAGGTTATCCATTAAACTAGCATTCATCGAAAAAACAAAGAGTGAAAAAAAAAATGGATAGGGATCTAGGTAAGTTAAAATATTTTAATTTAGATAAAATTTTACTTTTCTGTCAACCACCCATTTTTCCTCTTTAGCAACAAAGGACATAGTGGTGAACTAAAAATTTTCCTATTATTTTCTGTGTCAATTTCAGTTTGTGCCTAAGAAGTAACTTCATATGCTAAGTATTAAATTGAGCTGAATAATAGTGTCTCTACTTAACAGAATTTATACTTGAGCTCAATGTCAAATACATAGGCAAATAATGACGATGGAATGAGCTCAGTACCATCATACAATTTCATGTATGAAATGCTGTGGGGTCCTTGTGAAAGCAGGCACAGAACTTTAATATAAATTAAATCTTGGAGAGTCAGGAAAATCAGTTGATCGTGATAAAATGAACCCCTAAGGTACAGACAGCCCAAGTCAATAATATTTCTCCCCATAGTTTTAAAGCAATTTTAGGATCCAAACAGAATCATTTTTATTATGTTCTCCATTTTACATGAGGTAGAAAGACACTAAATTACAATGCAATGTTCAAGAGGGATTATTCCTGTCTTCTTGTTCATGATTGTCCTTCCAAAATAATGACCACTAGAAATTTTAAATAAAGCCTTTGCTTATCTTCTTTTTGCTGGAAGGAGAATGGTTCCTATCTAGATAAAATCTTAAACCTCAATTATGTGCTAATTCAAAAACAGATTAAATCTGAATAGTGACTATAAAATAGAACAGGCATAGACTTTTGCCTTGGGGGAAATTCAAATACAATGTAGGAAAAATGGCAATTTCTAATGATAGAATACCTAACTTTATCATTCAGATGTGAATACTAATATGTAAATCTTGAATTATTTTACTAACAATGGTCTTTTTTAAAAAAGACTTATTTTATTTATTTATTCATATAAGAGCTGGAGTACAGGCCAGAGGTGTGTGTGTGTGGGGGGAAGGGCTGGGGGTGGCAGGCAAGAGGATTCCCCAGAGACAGAGTGGGGAGCAAAACAGGTGGATCGACTGAAATACACTATTGAGGGGAGCAGTGGGCGAGCCAGAAAAAGGTCTCCAGTATCATGCGGGTCACCTCCCTGACTGGGGATTGAACTCATGATGCAATGGCTACTGTTAACTTCATAGTGCTGAGATTTAATCTGCTGTGCCACCAGGGAGTCCCCTACTAACAACATTATTTAGGGAGGACATAGGCCATGCTTAGCCTTTAACCTGCCATATATTTTAGCATGCTGCCTTGCACATGATAGGAAGCTAATCCATATGTGTAAAATGAACTGTAAAATGCATTAGACCTCCACCTTTCATCAAATATTTTAAAATCACGATACTAGATGTAGCCTGTGTTTCTCTAATATAGTCAGATGTCAGTGTCCCAAGAGACCTTAACTGGGGCTTAGAGTAGAGCTAAGCCTTTACTCTAAAACAGCCGTAATTCTGAGTTGGTCTTTCTGATCAATAGGTGGTCCTAGAGACAGAAAAATCTAAGTCTCTAGGAAATATAATTGAGCAATATTTTCCTTTTCCTGGGGATAATGAAAATTTCTATACAATGGGTTATTCTTTAACTTAAATATACTTTTTTCATTTTATATTCTGAACCAGATCGAGTGAGGAACTAGAACAGAAAGGTAACTAATTTAAAAACTGCACACACACACACTCTTTCTCACACACACACCCTAATACTCTTGTGGAACTCCATTCTATCTACCTCCCTTCCTCCCATCATCTGTCCCAATTCCACGGATAGTAGGACCTACTATTATATCCATTTTACACACATGTATATGTAAGAAACGAATGATTCACAGAAGTCAAGAGTTTGATTCACAGTCAGAGGGTCATTATCCACTACACTAGACTGCCTCTAGCATCAGGGCCTGAGAAGAGAGAGAAAAAGTCTACTTTCTATTTGACTATTATTTTTCTCTGTCAAGATTAAGAGATTTGTCCAAGTCTATTGATATGGAAAAGAGCAGACAGGGATAAAAACTGTTGTGCATCTACTATGGGTCAAGCATGGTGTAAAATACTTTTCACATTATACTCATTATTTTTATAATGTCAAGCTATCTGACATTATCCCAGTTTTCTATTTAGAAAACTGAGTCAGAACCCTCCCTGGTGGCACAATGAGTTAAAGCACATCACTGGTTGCGAAGCAGCCTCAGCCCCTTCAGTGTGAGTTTGATCCTGGCTGAGGAGGTGACCCACATGGCACAGCAGACCTCTCCTGTCTCGATGGATGCTCCCCTCAGCAGTGTACTTCACTAATGTGCCTGTTCCGCTCCCCACTCTGTCTCTGGTGAATCCTCTCATTGCTCCTGTATTTCTGGCCTATACCCCAGTTCTGGATGCATAAATAAGTAAATCTTAAAAAAAAAGAAAAGAAAACTGAGTCACAATGTTTTTAAATCACTAGCCAATAACGCCCAGTAAGGAACTAAGGAAGGGTTTAAAGGCAAGATTGAGCATAGATTATACTTTCTGCATTTACAAGTCTACAGATAAAATTCCAGGTGATAGGTCCTGAAATACTAGTTTTAAGCAACCGGAACACTCCCCTCCTCCCAAATCTCCCCACCCCAAATGTTTTTAGAATTTAAAGCTACTCAGAGTCAAGATTTCTGCAAAGGGGATAAATAGGGAACTTATAGTCACAGTGCTATGAAAGGAATGTAACCCAGGCCTTGCATCCTACCTTGATAAATACTGTCCTGAAGTAAGGTTTGTGGCTTTCACATCCAAGCAGTTCATCGTGCTGGGAATGAGTGCAAGTTCTGGCTGGATCATGGTAGCGGTAGCGACAGCTCTGGCGACCAGTTCCATGGCATCTTGTACATAGTACTCAAAGACAGACTGTGTTGTTTTTCCATGAGCAATAAGCCCCAAAGGCAGGCCTTCTGTCCTCAGTTCTTCCACATTCTGGGAATCTCCTAGCACCCAACGAAGCTCAGGGGGTGTTAACCCAAACTGAGTGGTAATTTCAAAAATCTGTCGGATGCTCTCCATGTTGCAGCCAAACATCACCATGGTGGACGTACTATTCTTAATGCTCTCAAGCTGGACCTGTAGGAAGCTCAAGAGGTCCTCACTGGAGAAGAGGTTGGTGGTGATGTTGATGACAGACCCGAGGTGGAACTTGGAGTTACTCTGGGTGAGGAGGAGGAAGTCTGTGATGTTCCAATCTTCCTGGCACAGCAACAAGCTAAAATTGTACCAGTTGTTCATGGTCAGGATTGAGACAGTGACATCAGCATCAGAACTTAATGAATTTTCTAAACTCAGTTGTAGGTGAAGGGGATTCTGTATTTAAAGATATGAAAAAGAAGAATTAGAAAGCATTAGCCAAAAATTATGATAGAGTACTTTTGCTTTCTTAGGAAGCTTAATCCTTTATTTTTTCCCAGTGATATTCAAATGTCTCTGTAATAAAGACATTTATTCCAGATAAATGGAATAAATAACTTGGAAAACTACATTTCTGGCTGATGGAACTACTGATTCCTGATTACAACTGATTTCTTCATAACAGCACAAGGGTATCAATTTCAAGTGGCACAAGCATGCATTTGGCTTTTTTTTTTTTTTTATCAGACTTGTCTTTTTCTTTACATATAGTTTCCTCTATGCATCTTACTTCTAACTATTGCTACTGTTAACTTGTTGATTAACTTTCTTCTTAGGTGAAATAATTGAAAGGAATTACTTTGCTTTCCTTTAAAACTAACAACAGGGACATCTTCAAGTAGTTCAGGTACTTGTATAAGGATGATGTGGAAAATAGAGGCATCGTAATTTCCTAGATTTCTAGTCTCTTGAGAAAGGTATGTCTGATTCATGTGCTGCTATAGTCTGAATGTTTGTATTCTCCCAAAACTCTTATGTTGTAATCCTAATATTCAATGTGATGGCATAAGGACATGGGGCCTTTGGGGATTGTTTAGGTCACTAGTGTAGAACCCTCTAGAATGAGACTACTGTCCTTATAAAGACACCCAGGAGAGTTCTCTTGTCCCTTTGTCCAAAAGAGGATATAATGAGAAACCATCACTCTGTGACAGAGGGGGCTCTCACTTGACCATACCGATCCCCTGATCTTGGACTTTCAGCCTTTGTGAGAGACAACAAATCAGGTTGTTTACAATCAACCCTGTTTGTAGTATTTTGCTATAACAGCCCAAGCAGGTTAAGATTTATGGAGTAATTTCCTATACACATCTATATCCCCTGCTTTTCAGATCACACCAATTCAAAAGACTTAAATTAGCAGTTGTTTTTCTCTAACTCAAGGAAATCCAGAGAGAATCTTTCATTCTTTCAACAAAAGGCAAAAAATAATGTTCAACATTGGTTTTGCAGCAGGCTTTCTAGAGGCAGTGTGTAGTCAGGTGTGTGAGAGGGGCCCCACTCCCCCAAGTACTACTTTATACAGCTTGACTATTTATCATATCCTGCTTTTATTATATGTTAATGTCATTTTAGGTTGTATGTGTTATTGAGTATGATTTGGCAGGTTATTCTTGGGGATCTGGGAATGTTTGAACATTTTTACATATAATTTAATGATAACTCCTTTTTTTATGCCCTTCAGCTTATTAAAAATTTCCCTGAGCGCCTTTCCTGGTGACGCAGCGGGTTAAAGCACTGCACTAAGAAGCTTAAAACACTTCCGCATGAGTTCGATCCCCACCTGCCCCGGAGGTGACCACATGGTGTGGCAGACCTCTCCTGACCAGCCGGCTGCTCCCCTCAGCAGTGTACTTCCTCCATCTGCCTGTTCTGCTCCCCACTCTGTCTCTGGTGAATCCTCTCACCCTCCGCATCTCTGGCCTATACCCCAGTTCTGTACAAACAAATAAATAAATCTTTAAAAAAAAATTTCCCCGAATACTGCTTTTGAGGGAAATATGTATGTGGAGATAAAGTCTAATAGTGATGATGACATTGCATTTTTGTATCTACTGAGACTAGGTCCTTGCTGTGGAATGTGTGCCGATGTAACTTGTATCACAAATTCATCTACTTATGGTAGTCATTAACTCAATGAAGAAAGAGTATCTTACTTAGAAAGTCACAAATATTAATCCCATAGGTTAAGTGGAAATAGTCCTCCCATGACTACATATGTTAATTGTTCTTTCCAAGAGCAGACATTTGACATAGTTATCCTTTAACACTGACATTCTGCAAATGGTTAGTACAACACCCTATGCATACTGACTGAATTGAACTAAATAGCTTCCCACTTGGAATTATTAGTCTACTGAGCTATAGTGCGAACTTGCCAAACATTCTGGTCAATAATATATCAAGAAAAATGAGGAGGAATTTCTTGGTAAAGTTTTAAGCCATTGTACCAAAGATAAGAAATGTAACCTCCCTTTGCCCATACAAAAATATGTAAAAGAAGTAAGATTGGAGCTGAAGTTTGGATTCTTTGAAGAAGTGAAAGAATTTTGATATGGTAGAGTGGGGAGTGAGTACTCCAAAGAATCATCTAGTGGCAATAAATGAGAGCAATCACAGTAGGTAGGATCGAATCTTTAAAAACTTTGGTTCTTCCATAATAAACTTTTGAGCAAGATTTGCTGTGATAAAAGGTGAGTTTTTGGAAAATCATTTATGGGCAGTATTCAGTAGACAGATGGAGAACAAGCCCTTCTTGATTAACATAAATCACTCCAGAGAGACTTTTTTGACTTCTTTTTTAGCTTTCATACTTTCCCTCTCCCTTTATATTTCTTCTTCTGGCTTAATCCTCTCTTCCAGAAAGGAAGGCAACCTCTACATTTAGTTGGCAGGGACAAATTATTCCCGAATGCTTTCTTGGCATCAGTCCCCTATTCTATTGCCAATTTTCTTTCTAAAACACAAATATTATCATATCATTTTTCTGCACTACAACCCCTGAATCACCCACAGGAACAATTTTTAATATCGGTAGTATGGTTCAGGTCATTCTAGGTCTTTAATTTCACCTCCAGCACTCCAGACATACACACCAAGACAAGTCATAGCAGGTACTTTGTTTCTCTTATAGCAGAGCAAGCATTTTCTCACCAAAACAAATTTCATTAGCTCATTTTTCTACTCGGAAGTATTTGCCTACATTCAACTTCATCCTTCAAAACTCAGCTCTTCCATGCAGAGCGCTAGAAAATAGTTTATGTCGTGTTTGCTAGTTTTTCTGGTATTGATGACTCCCCCCCACAATACAATATTTTTGTTCTGCTGATTTCCTGCAATGGAGAATTGGACTTTGCTTGACAACTTCTGATTACTGAGCAAATGTTAACGGGATTATTAGCTTCATGTCTATGTTGTAGTACCATTTGCTCATTCTTTACAGACCTCTTCTCATCATAATATAGCTATTTAATTATCTTTAACACTAGACTGAAAGACTCTTTAGGACAAGGAACATACCTCAACCATCTCTTCTAGCAGGGTTCTTAGTTAACCAGAGATACTATTTGTCAAGTGGAATTTTCTTTTATTCACCTCAAGTACCAGGCTATGATCATTATCTAATCACTTTATAGAAAGACTGAGGAATAAACCATTTCCAGCAGAGCTTCAAGACTTAGTATTTTGTTCTCATTTGGAACAAAGGCTATCCTTGCATGTACTTCTTACAGAGACAATCACTACACCTACAAATAAGGAGTAAGCTCTGTGGAGGAAGGGGTGAAAATGGAAGAGAAGAAACATTAACTGATCATATTGAGTTAAATTTATCTCCCTATTCTATTTCCAGCTTTCTTTCTAAAGCACAAATATATCAGTCTTCTACAAAAACACCCCTAGACTCTAACAGACAGAAAACAAATGCATTTGGCATGAGAGTTTAACATGGGGTAAAACAAAGACTCCCCCTTCCCTGCATAATGATTAATCCATATAATTCCATTCATCCCTACAAACAATTGTATTAAGAATTTCCAGATGTCGAAGTTAATCCTCTCTCAGACTTAAGGGATATAATTTTTGAACAAATATTAAATAACAATTTAGAAATATCATGTGATATAGTACTTATCTAACAGATGCAGTATCTTCTAATTTCTTTCAATAGAATAACAAGCCATATGCACACACAGGTGCACACACACATATGAAAACTTATAATATCAACATTCAAACCTTATAAAACATCATCAAAAACTGGGATAGAAAATAGATCAGCCCTATTGAACTGCCAAAACCGAATTCATCAAACTGAATTGACAATAAAAATCTTTGTCTTCTATATAAATTTGTTTCCACAAAAGAAGAAACCTATGATCCACAAAAGATAAAAATTTTAGAAATAAATTCCACATTGTTTACCTCCTAAGTCAGATATGTAATAAGAGAACAACTCAAGCATAAGGGAGCTTCTTTCTACCAAGAAGAAAAAGTAAAAGTGGCACAGAGGTGCATTTAATTTATATAAATTAAACCAACTCAGGAGAGGGAAGAGAGACAGAAATATGAGGTTAAATAGTACTGATAATTTTCATTCCTTAAATGAGTTCCTGATTACACATGACATACAGTATTATGTATTGCTATATATTATTACATATACTTGCGTACACAAAAGCATACATATCAAGCTAAATAGCTAATTGAAGGGATTTTCAGATACAATTTGCTATACTTTAAATTGAACATTTTCTTCATTTAAGAGAATACAGTACTGTAGTCCACTGATTTTTTTTTTAAAGATGTATTTATTTATTCATACAGAGACAGAGCAGGGAGCAGAACAGGCAAATCGACAAAGTACACCGCTGAGAGGAGCGGCGGGCGGGTCAGGAGAGGTCTGCCACACCATGTGGTCACCTCCGGGGCAGGTGGGGATCGAACTCATGAGGAAGTGGCTTAAGCTTCTTAGTGCTGTGCTTTAACCCGCTGCACCACCAGAGAGGGCCTGTAGTCCACTGATTTTTAAGGTCTTTTTCCCATCACCTTCTGAGTGACCGTTAATTATTTTGGAGCACAGGACAAGAAGTGTGGATGGAGTGAGACCATGGTGAAATGCCTGAGGGGCTGAAATTTCAAGTCAAGGACAGAGCTGGATGGGAAGGGGAGGTGTCAACATGGCAATGAAGTTGCCAGGTGAGGGAGAGCACAGAGCTGTCAGAGAATCAGTCAGTGGTAGAGACGCTTCAGCTGCTCTGTATCAGAGTAGGTTTATAACTAGTAAACACTGACATTTGACACACAGAAAAATCAGACACAAATGGTAAGGAAATTTGGAAAAAGAAAAATGATAGTAGTAGGAACTTGCTTTAAAAGTTTTTTAAAAAATTGCAGCA